ATATATATATATATATTAGTACACTTTAGCTAACACTTAACAACATATAAGAAAAACATGAAAGATTTACATAGAAAATATCATTTTTATTCTGAGCTGCAGGAAAGAGTTGAGCAAGAGAAGCTAACCTCACAGCATGTTATATATGACTTCTTTCTGACTCATGCTTTGTGAATTATATTTTTCAGTTTAAACTTACTCTCGGATACTTTTAGTTATTTTCTTTTTCATTACAAGCATGACAATAATATACTACAAATCAAACAAAGGCTTTCTTTCTGTGGATCTCCTGTGGCACAGCACCAATTAGTCACCCAGAATATGCCTTGTTTTTCCTAGTTCTCTCAGGATCAAAATCAGTGAGATTCTGGGTTATGTTACGTGATAATATGATAGTTTTATGATAGTAAGGCTTCCATTATCACTAGGACTAATTCTTGCTTCTTCCAATACCACTTAAGCAACATTTAATTAATACGAGTTATCAGAACCGAAATTCTGTTGGTGAGAGTGATGCATGTGATGCAGATGACTAAATGAAAATGCAACACAAACTGGTATTTTACTGTCTGTTTGTTGTACATGAATTAGTGATAAAATATCATAGCATAAAAACCTCTGTCTATCACATATGAATTGATATGTATTATAAGATTTGTCAGTAAATATATATATTTTTTTTAGAAAACTATTTCAAAAGTAATTAATTTAGAAAATATACGCTGATTACCCTACAAGTTTAAACATGTTAGTACCTGCTATCTTGGGAATTATGACATGGTAAAGATATCTAATGTACTTATCACTATATACACAGTTAGGGTAGGGCAGGAGGGGCAGTTGCCCAAGCCACAGCTCGAAGGGTGGTGCAGTGTGAGCATTAATCCTGTGATTCAGTGTTTTATGCAGTAATGTACAGACTGGAAACTTGCCCAGGGCTCAAAAATGATGGCTATGGCTCTGACTATATGTGTAAACATTTTTGTTCATATCTAATGTCCACCATTTTAAGCCCTAAATGACCAGATTTCTACAGACAATATATATAATCTTTAACAGAATGATTTCAGTTATACATGAAAATTATGTGCATACAGTTATTTGTTGTATATGTACAATAAAGAGGAGAAAAAGGCATCTATTGAATCTATTCTATACATGCATAGATATATGTTGACACAACATAAAGACGAGAATATGTTACCTAATTAATGGAAAATATTCTTACATGTATCAAAATGTTTCATCGCCAGCTTTAAAAGAAATGTTATGCAAAATATGAAATTTAAAAAATGCAAAATATTTTGAGCTACAAAATAAACATAAAATAGAGAGAACTTTAAGAGATTTTTGTACTTATTTAATCAAGGAATTGAACCGATTCATTATTCGTAATAATGTAAATGTTTGATCAGAAATAATTATAATCAATACTACTGTGATAATACAGAGAGGTTGAATATGTTATACTAAAATTATTTTGGAGCCTCACTACATTATTACAGTTCTTGTCATCATGTCCATCATGCTCTATCTGAAGAAAGTATACCTCTTTATAATTCCCCTATAACGTAGTTTCCACTGCAATAAATTCCAAAGCACACCCCTTTCTATAATCCATCTAGTGTACATAAACCGCAGTCTTTCAATGTCCATTTCAACAGTTTGATCTCAAAGAAATCCATTGGTACTGTATCTGGCAACTTGACAAGTATGATTTTGTGTGGAACAGCATGAATACATGTTCATTGACCACCTGTTTGAAATATGCAATGGTTGAATGTGAGGTTTGATTGGAAGCCTTATTTTAGTAAACCATACCCTGTTTCCCTCATTTCCAACAGAAATCCTTCTATATTACTATATGTATTGTTACCTGGGCCACATGAACAGCTTTTCCCAGTGAACTTTGTGTTTGTGGATTCTTACCAGTTACAGGATATTGCATTTTGTTTACCATTGCTGGGGTACATTTGTTGCAGATTTATTTCTAGGTGGCTCTATTTCCCAAGTTGGCCCATATTCCTTTGTTTTCCAATACCATTAAGTACAAGTGATATCTAAGTCATTGAAATTCTAAATCCTTGATCTGAACATATCTTTATGACCTGAGTTTATGATTATTTTGTGTTAGAAAGGACTGTTAGATATTGTACCACAACTTTATTTTGGCTGTGGTTGTCAAATGACTTCTTGATTTACTTTTGAACATTTTTTAATATAACACACTCAGCCCTCTGTATAGTATTATTTTCTGTAGCACATTAATTAATAAAAACTAAATCAACATTCATATCAATTAATATAGAAATCAGTAATATAAACTAATTTTGTGCCACATGAAAATATACAAATTGTTGTCTTTAATTTTATGGACACAAAACTTAAATTAGTCTGTTTGATTATGAGGTTATTGTTATAAAAACGTTTGGGGTATACATGTATATGTATTTAAATGTTTTGTTTAGGTGATCAGGGTGACAGAGGTCTTCCAGGTCTTCCTGGAATGCGAGGTCTGCCAGGTCCTGCTGGACCACCTGGTCGTTCGGGATTACCAGGACCTCCAGGACCATCTGGGGACAGTTTCTCAATTGGTCTAAAAGGAGAAAGAGGCAAAGATGGACTTCCAGGTATTTTGATATTTTCTAAGTTCATATGAAAAATGTATATTATGTGTGTGTATCAGAAAATATATTTGTCTTTAGTTCGTACATGAATACAAAGCAAGGTTTATTGTTAAAAATTAATTATTCTTTTCAGTAGGACAATTTTAAAATACAACATCAAAGTATTAATGTAATTAGTTATATGCAAATATGTCATAATTTTAATAAACAGTACACATGTGAATGTTTTTGCTTCAGGATATCTGTAGCCATGTATTATATTTTGTATGATTTGTATTATTATATTGTATTTTAATTATATTTTTAAAGTTTTGTAATTTCTTTTGTGACCAATATTAAATGGATAACATAATGTACTAGAAAATGGACTCTTGAAAAAGTTCTTCATTTATTTAGTACTGTCATTAGTCTTGTGCATTAAGAATTTCTAATGAGATGGATGAATGAAGTAAGTTACAAAGGCTCTGATGTATATTTGTTTCCTCCATCATTTTAAAAATCAAGTGGGTTGATGTTTTGATAAATGTGTCAGTGATACGAGTCATACGTAGCAGCTGACTGTCATAGCTTATTGGTTACTGAGACAGACTGACTGTTTATACTGTAAAATATTAATTGAAAAAATATATCATAGAGAATTCTAAATATTGCTCCAACCTATTGTGCTTTATGATAGAGAGTTAGTGAATGTGTTTAGATGATGATGACCCCATAGAGTAGGTTCTACCAAGAGTGGTTCTACCTGATTCTAATCATTCTTAATTACTATACTAAATGACAACTGAAGTTTGAACTCAATTTATGTGATGTCCTTTATTTTTTGTTTATTTGCTATAAAGGGCAATAATTAGAAAGAACTTTTTTTTCAAAAGCAACTTAACTGTACAAATCAAAAGTAAAATAATAAAAACGCAACTTGCAAATTTATTAAGACTGTTGTGTGTGACAAATTGAGATATACATGTCATATATCAGTATACCAGGAATTTTGTAATATACACTAATGCCATTTTTATTTCTCTTTTAGCTTATTTTTAAGTGTTTATTTACATACTTTTCTGTGTACGTTGTGTAGTGAAATTTTATGCTAATGATATATGTATTTCATATTACCTACTAATGTGAAACAAAAAATTTATGTAATAAAATTAACAAATTTCATTATAAATTTCTGTGTTAATAATTGAAATAATTATGTTAAGCTTAACAGTTTGTTTCTGATATAAACTGATAATAAAAACTTGTTAATTATATTTATATTAACATGTTGAAATAATTTATTGCATTTATGAAACAAAAAATATTAATTAATATTTGTTTAACTTGTTTAATTATTTATTATGATACTAAAAGTATCAGGACTTTTAATAATATTGCATTCTAAGCCAAAGTATGATTAAGAATTAAATTAATGATTAGAATTCAGTAGCTGAAAATTCAAGGTTGAGTTTAAAAGTTGTTCTTTATTCTTTAATATGCAAAAACAAACAAGCTATCACTTTGAACTGTGTGTTCTCAAAAAAGGAATTGATTATAATTAGTCAGTTTTGTGTCCTTTAAAAGGGGGTTAATTATCAGCCTTAGTTGTTTAATTGCTTAACATGGTAACTGGTAACTATTTTTCAGTTTGTAATACCTAGTCTTAGTATTGAACAAAATGTCAACTTGAATTGTATAGTTATAAAGGAGTGATTACAATACATTCTTGTCATCCACAGTTTTATAGTGATATTTGTGTTTATCAGCTTGTAAAGAACATTTTAGAGACTGATTAGCAGTTGATTCATAAAATTTAGTGCACTGAATGTAGTCTACTTACAGAAGTGTCATCTGTATCAACGTAACAATGTAATTTCTAAAGAAAAATAATATATCAATAAAAATCAGTGATAACATACACAGAGAACAAAATTGTAGAAGTTGCCCAGACTGAGTTAAAATTCTATGGTTAGTGATTTAATTTTTTTTACAGAATAGGTTACCAATTCCTTCTCAAATAATTTATGTAATATTGTGTGTATGTTAGTTAAGTTTATACATATTTAAAATTTACAAAACGTATGTTATGTATCTTACATGTACAAAAAGTATGTTTCTCTGTACACTCTTGTGCAAGTTAATAACCAGTTTTGTTACTTACTTAACTTATAAGATTTGGATTCATAAATATTGTAGATAATAACTACCCCTGTTCCCTCATACATAGTTATCTACCTGTTTCATTCTAAGTTTGTTCTTCATTCTCCCAAATTAACTCTTAAGGTTAATCCTGCAGAAAGATACTAGTTATTAGTCTGAGATATGTGTCTATGAGACTGGAGAGAAGGTCTGTTATTAAACTCTATTATATTGCCATAGAAGGGGGCTTGATGTAGTTACCTGACTGATTGTTTTAGTAGCAAAAAATGCAGCATCTAGTGTAAGTTGCTTAGTTACAGAAGAGAATTGGTTAGTGGAAGAATTTGAAATTTTTCTTTTGTACAATGAAATAATTTCATACACATTATAATGACATTGAACTTTGAGAGGGTGTAATTGATTTCGTTATCTATAAGTGCCATACAACTTCTATCCATTCAGGATTACCAGGAATATCGGGAAAAGATGGAATACCAGGAATACCTGGACTAAAGGGTGAGCCTGGAGAACTAGGAATTAGTTATGGATTTTCTGGTCCTAAAGGATACCCTGGTGATCCAGGATTTGCTGGGCCACGTGGGGCTCCTGGATACATAGGTGAAGTTGGAGTTCCAGGACCACGAGGCAAGTATGAATAGTTTTAGACTGAAAGTAATAGAATATAGTTTGTTTCTTTTTATGTTTAATTAGCATATTAAAGAATATGTAGTAAAACAAATTTTTTATTTACTTAACTGTTTACAAGATAGTAAATAACAAACAGTAGAATGAAGGCAACAACAATTAACATTTGGCACGCGTGTGTATGGGAACAAACATTTAATTCTTGAAAGTTTTGGAATGTGCACATTCCATCTTCAACAAGCTACATTGAACACGGTAAAATATTAGGACAAAATTCATAAAGTTCAAACATTTTGTAAAGCATAATTAAAATGCATATAAAATGGTGAAGTAAATTAAAAAACAAACAAACAAGAAAGAATAGGAAAGTGCAATAATTGTAACAGTATATACAAGTTTTTCAAAACAGACTTAATTGTAGTGAAGCTGTGTTATTATTCAAAATTGGGAGTTTATTTATAATACATAAACTTTCTTTAATTAAAAGTTCAGTATTGGATGCTCCAGATGAGATGACTTTGAAATTGTTAATCAAGATGAGATCATTGTTGTTTCACTATGTGTGCAAATTACAGAGTCTGGAGGATTTGATAGTTTTTACCAGTTCTGCTTGATACTCCCATATGTCCACAGGTATGCAGGTATAATTGGCAGATATTTTTGCCAATGTAAGTTGCATCAGATATTGTTTATACATGATCCTGGAATGCATAGGTAGGTAATAGGTCTTTAGATCTAAATAGATTTTGTATCTTTAAGGGTGACTTAAATCTCATTTGTAGTTGAACTGTAGATAAAAAATTTTAATTATTCTTAAAATTTGTGACTTCACTGTCAAACTTTGCTTACCTAAAAAAGGAACAATCAGTCTTAATGGGTATTTGTCTACAGTATATAGATATTTTTAGGGTTCAGTTTTTGTTAGAAAGGAACTTGCATGTTAGGGCTTGAATATAATGCAAAGGATAGCCATTGTTTATTAAAATATTCTGTGAGGAGGTTATTTTGGTATGAAGAGAGAAGTAGTTAGAACATATGTTATATGCTCTATTGAGAAGACTAAGTATAAGGTTATGCTTAAAGGAGTTTAGAATAAAACTGTCAAAACATGTACGTAAGCCTGTATATGTTTGCTTATGATAAACAGATGTAAAATAGTTATATAATCTGCTGATTGGGATATCAAGAATGGGCAATTTACCATTTTTTTCAATTTCGCAAGCAAAATTAATGTTACATTTTTTTTAGATTTAAATAATCCAGGAACTGTTTGACAGGTGTCTAGCCAAGAATGCTCATAGTGACAAAGGAATATGTTTGCGAGAGTTGGCCCTAAAGGTGACCCCATAGCAACACCATCTATTTGGTCATATAGCTCAGAGTTGAAGACAAAGTGATTATCCTTGAGGGCAAGTTTAAGTAATTCTTCAACTGTTGGTGGTCGAAGCTTTTGTATATTTAATTTTCTTGGGGAAAAGTTTTTTAAGATTATTTATATTGTTTCCTTGAGTGGAATGTTTGTGAATAAAAATTTTATGTCAAAATAAGAAAAAATATATTGATCAGCATTATTCATCTTAGAAATTTCTTATGCAAACAAATGGAATCTTTAACTATAAACTTGTGGGAAACAAGTAAATGTATATTAGGAATGAGGAATTTAATAGGTCTTAAGGAAATTTAGTTTTGTACTTCAGTTTATTAAGGAGAACATCTGTACCTTTATCAGGTTAGGTGACAATGATATTTTCATCATTAGCTAATTCCTTTAATGTGGTATATTCTTCATGAGAAATGGTGGAAACGGGATTGTAAAATGAAGACAAAGCAACATTTTTGAATCTTGTTTTTACAAAGTTCTCTAAGTTCTGGGAACCATTCCTCTTGAAAATACATTGAGATTTCAAAATTTTATAAGTGCTCTCAAAGGGAAACAAGTAATTAGAGAATTTAATTTTAGAGGGAGGTAAGCAAACCTTTAGGGCCATAGCTAGGGCACTTTTACAAGGTTCACTGAGTACAACATCACTGAAGTTAAAAATCACCTGGTTGGGATCAATACTGTTGGTATTTTTATCTGGAATTAAGTTATCAAGTTTGATGTTCTACTTGTCCAGGCAGATTTAAGTTTTTGTGTTAATGTTGTTAAGCAGGTGGTTGTAGTTGAACCATGATAAGTTATTTCTTAGTTCATTCTTTGCTGATTCATGTTGAGTGGTAGACTGTTTCTTTTGTTTGAATTTCAACTTCAGTTCTTCTTCCAAAAGACAACATATTCAAAAATTTTATGTGGATTTGTTAGATATCTGGAATTTTCATTTGTGAAACTTATAATTTTTTTTTGCTATACATATCATAAAGGCTTAGGTTATTCACTTATTTCATTATGTACTAGACTTTACAAAATCATCAACATAGGCATAGCATGTTAATTACTGCTTCACATTATCTCTGACAAGTGCTGATAAGAGTTTGAATGCAGTTTCATTGTGTTTTCATTTTAAACAGCAATAATAAATCAAATACATGTAATCTTTAAATGTTTTTATTTGTGATGTACATGTATGTCATGAACATGTTAAGCCAAAATTGTTACAAGTATTTCATTATGAAACAAATCAGTAGACTTAGACTTTACAGGTTTAAAGATCCAACACCTGTATTTGTAAATTTGAATAGGTCCTCGAGGAATTGATGGATCAGGAGATCTTTCTGGACCACAAGGTTATCCTGGCCCCTCTGGACTAAGTGTACCTGGAATAAAAGGTAGAGCAGGATATCGAGGTATTCCTGGTCCTCCAGGTTTGCATGTAAGTCAAATGTGGACTATTTCTGTCAGTAAAATCTAATTTATACTTTAAAGTAGTATTTATCAGTATTTTTGTTGTTATCAAGAGCATCAGTTAAAAGAACATTTGTTTCCATCCTTAAGTGCTATTGCTTTTTTTGTTGTTGTTGTTTCTTTCCCCAGAGTGCATTTGTTTTTAGGCATTTCAATATTAAGGAATAATCAGTTAGTTGGAATTAGAATAAATGGAAGGAGTTTTTGTGCACAATGTGAAATAGGCCTATGTGTGATTGTACAAATTAAATATGAGATCATCCGTTGCTGAAAAAAAAGCTGCCTGTAAACTGTGACACAAGAATGCACCTAAATAATAGGACCAATTGGACAGGAAACAAGATAAAATAAATGGCAAACTTGTTAGCAGAATAATCAAATAGCATAAGTAATTAGTAGATCTTTATTAGATATTTGTTGAAATTTCTTATCAAAGCAAAAATTAAAGCATTTGTAAGAATAAAGAGAAACAATATGAAAATACTCCAACATAGTTAAATTTGTTTATGTACATTGTATAGGCTGTTCTCCTAAAAATATCATATTGTGTATTTTTCTGTTACATTTTTCTAAGTTTATTGTTAAGTCACTGTATCATCTTACAAAATGAATGTGACTATACTTATTTCTTAATGAAGTGAGAGAGAGAGAGAATTGAATACTAGATGAAAATATAGTAATGTAGTATTATTATATTTTGGAGTTATGAAACATCCCAATAAAAAGTTACTGATTTATTTAAGGATATGTTTAGTGACACAATATTATATGAATTTATATTTCCATTATTATATAGTTGGGTCACTTCTGAAGTATCTCATCACTTTGCACATGGAATTGGGGCCTCATTATTAACATAAGAACTGCCAAGGCCATCAGTTTGACAGTTTTCACTTTTAAAATCAAAGTATCTTCCATTTGTCTGGCAGTTTTAGTGTTAAACATGCAGGTATAACATCAAAGTAATTTCATGTTACATTACAAATAAATACTGTTAACTCGAGGAAATGTTGAAATCAGCAATTTGTAAAATGTACATTACACATCACAGTCTGGTGTATGAATGCAACAGAACAAATATAATAATACATTAAACCTCGGTATATTCTTTACAAAAGAAAAATCAACAGAATATATACATTAGCATAACACATAACATCAGGTACCTTTTGATATGAAATAAAATAACATATAAAAACTGCAAAGAAAGGAGTGACCAAATATGTTGTGACATTAATAAAAGAAAAATCTTAGCATTATATTAATACTATTATTAGCTACACAAATGAAATTTAGCTGAAATAATAAGTTAAAATCAAAGGTGAAATAGGAAAAATAAAAAGCCTCTCAGTGGCTCAGCAGTAATTCTGAAGGTCTGTAATACTAAAAACCAGATTTTGATAGAAAAAAAATAAAGTTTAGATAAAATCTGAATCCAGAGTACAGAAAAATGCTTGGAGAGCAGAACAGTTTTAAAAATTGAAACATCATATGGGTACAATTGATCAATTTGAAATTAGGGTTTAATACCAAAATAGAAATGACATTGTAGTGAAAGTTATTAAAACGAAACTGTTAAGTAAAACTGCAATTTGAAAAATGATGTAATCTTCAAAATAATATAAAACTTTCCATTACTGTGCACCTAACCAGTACAGTTTAAACAAAGTAAATTAGATATTACATGAATGGTACAGTAAACTTACACAAGTTAAATACATATTAGTTAACTAAAATAATAACATTCTTTACAAAATTGGGATTTCCTCATAAGTATAAAACTAAACCTCAGAAAAATTGTGTATATATTTACAGGTATATAAACATTAACTTTGAAGATTATGTGAAATGAGTCTACAACATTCAGCTTTCAATTATGATAATGTAAGATACACAAAAATAACCTTTACTAGAGCATTCGCTTGGAAAATTAATTGAACCATATAAAAAGCATCAAAGAAAACTGAACTGCTATGTTTTGGGATATTGTTAATTAAAGAAATACCTAAACAGCCAATCTGATATGAACAACTCTTAATCAAAGCATGACAACACATTATATCCAGACAAATTGCAAATCCTTTCATACTGTGTTGAAAAATGTGATTTTTTGCCATCTGCATTGCTCTTCCAAGGAATTTTCTACTTTGCATTTCTGCTGAAGGTTGGACCTAAATATTTTGAATTTTCAGCTAAAATAGAAGTCATGAATAGCTACATATATTACAAAGATATAAAATTTCATTCCCGAATCACAAAAATTGTTTCATTAAAGTACTTTTTTTTTATCTTTTCTTCATGTAACCAGATAAGTTACAAATAAAAAAAATCGAATAACGTGATCACTTTCTTAAGTTTGACTTTTTTGTATTTACCTACCAATAACATTTCAGACTACTAATTTTTATTTTAACTATATTTTTTATGTACTGCAATATTGTTATTTCTGTTGCATTTAACAGTTGCATAAAGAAATGAGAAAATACCCTACTGAACATTTTTCACATTTTCAACAGTGAGGGTATTTTAACCATGACATCAGTTCTGCATTTTGGTACAATTGGCTATGCATGTAATGGACTATGTATAACTGGTTGCTCTGTTAAGATCAGCAGTTCTAATTTAAGGATGGCTTTGCTTAAGTCTTATTATCTTTGACATATGCATTTCTTAATATATCTTTGATTCATATTAAAAATACCAAATACCTCCAAACATGCTAGGGTTAACATGATAAGTTTACAGAAAAACATGTAACTGTAATTTAACAAGTACAAAAGTAAATGGTAAAGATTGCAATCTGAATTTATGATCAGATGTTTGTAAATAAAGGAAATACTTGATGCTTATACAGTAACTTGTTTGCCTTCACATACATATCCCAGTACCCCAAAGTAGAATTGGGTTATTTGTGATGTTTGCTAATTCACTAATCAACAGCCCCTATAGTTTATTACATTTGATTAAGATACTAGCACATTGTCCCTCAATCCATGGTAAATAAAAGCAAAAAAAATAAAAATATTGGCAGCCATGCAGTTACCTTCCCTCTATTCAACAATTCAAGAAGAATTAAAAAAAAAAGAATATAACCTTAGTGTATAACAAATCAGGGTGATCAAGTTTAGTAGCAATGGGAATTGAAACCAAGACCCTCAAATCATAACCCCCTTCCCCCAAATCACCAAAGCTAAACAACCTCAAAGTAAAAAAACAAACTTCTGAGACTAAAATTGGTTAGAGCACAGATGACACTTTATTTATCTTTGTTTCAACAACAAAGAAACATAATAGCAAGTAAGCAGTTACATAGAATGTTGAGATCATTAAAAATGCTTATTTTGGTTAGTTGGTTATTTTTATAAAAATTAATTTAAATGTAAATTTAATTTATTGATTTCTAGAATACCCTGAAACAGTAATATAATCAGAAATGTTAATTTCAGTTAATCGTTTTAATCACAATTTCAATCTATCAGTTTGTTTACATAATATTAATCAATGTAATTGCTACCCATAGGAAATCAATTAAATTCTCCAGCTACAAATAAGTTTATGTGACGTTAATTTATGTAATTACTGCTCATAGATAATTGATTTAGTTGCCCAGCTACACCCAAAAGGTAACTCAGAAACTAAGTAATATTTTACATGTTTTTTTTTTTCCCTCTTCAGTTTTGCAACATAAAGTAGGTATGTGGTAAGTAAATTGTAATATTACCACATCAAACTGCAATAATTTTGTTTATACTAGCTGGAACCTTGAATCATATTACAATGAAACACCATTTCTGTGAAAATGTTTTATTATATTCATTCAAACTGTAATATACAGGATGATTCACAAGTCCATTGACAGGCAAATAAAATAAAAACTTGAAAGGAACATAGTTCTTAGTGGTATGGAATGAGATATTATGACCATCCCTGTGACAATATCATTGAAGTCATTCAATATCATACCCTTTGAGACTTTTATTAATGTATATCATAAACCCAAAATGTCAATGGGAAAGATGTAAATAATAGCAACTGAAACATACAAAACCAAAAAATTACCCAAATCACTCCCTAAGTTTGACATTTATAGACATAAATTCATCTCTTCCATGCATATGGCACTGTGTCACAGAAAATCAAATACCAACTATAGAAACAATTGAAATGTGGGTTTGAGGCACAAGGTCATAATTTTTCATAAGCAGGTCATTGCACCTTTGAAGGACCCAAAAGGTAGAAAGGTATTAGAATACAAGATCCCTACATAAAGTTGCACAAAAGAATTGTGTTTCAGCTGCTCCCAAATCTTCTAAATAACAGTACAGCATTTATTTGGAGAACAGTTTAACACAGTCCCACTATATGGAGAGTGTAATCAAAATGCCTGGATTGCTTCCAGTTCATATACTGAATAGTTTCCACATGAATGTCATCCTTCCTATCAGATAATAAGAAATGTGTGTCAGTGGCTAGTACTTTGGGCTCATTTATGCATAGATGCCATGTGGGCAGACCAAGAATAATAACCAATATTGACAACAAAACCACAGGTGTTAGCAATTATCACTCTTCAACAGCATTTTAAATATAGCTATTGATTTTTGATGATGAGGAACCCACTTTGAGACTAATAATGGTTGGAGACAGCTTGAATGGGTAATGAAGAAAAACTTTAATTTAAGTTTAACACAACAGTAAATGTACAACGTTTCGACAAGGTTTTGTCATCATCAGGTACCTACATCAATGTTCTTGAACTCTCCTCCATAGACCAATGACCCAAAACCTCTTGGTGATCCACCCAGGCACC